ACTGTCTCAAAAAAAAAAAAAGAAATTAGCCCTTTGTCACATCTGTTGTAAACATTTTTTACAGTATTTTTACAGTTTGTTGTTGTCTTTTAACAGTGTATATAATATTTTTTTGCTGTCTAGCAATTTCTCTATTCTTCACTTTAGGGCTCCTTCCTGGATTTTATGTATGCTTCAAAAATCCTTCCCATCTCAAATATAAAAATAGTACATATGTTTTCTTCTACTCCTTTTATAATTTCATTTTTATTGAGAGTTTTCTCAATAACTGTAAATTAAAATGTAGATATATAATTACACAGTTGGAGCTCAGCTACATAAAAAAATTTAAAAATACTAGAAGGAAATAAAAATTGTTGCTGAATGGTAGGATCATACATGGTTTTTTTTCCTGTGCTTTCCAAATTTTCTACATTGAATACATATTACTTTTATAATCAGAAGAAAATAAAATTTCTTAAAACCTTCACATTTAAAATTTTTTCTTGAATTTGTGATAGCAATAGCTTCAATTCCCAATCTATTATCATTTCAGTACCTGACCTAAACTGAATTTAATATTAAGGCAGAGATTTGTATTTTCTTTTAACTCCATTGTCATGGATGACATGACAGGAAAAATTTTAGAGTCATATAAAGGTCTGTTGAAAGCAAAAATTATGGTTCCATTTGGGAAGTTCATTTGAATAGTAATCGCAATAACAGTCATACCTTTGAAGTATAACTATGTGCCAAGTGCTTACATATATTAACTCATTAATTCTTCACAACATCTTTATAACATAGGTATTAATATTATTATATCACCATTTTACAGATTGAGAAACTAGGCAAAGAGAGGTTAAATAACTTGCTCAAGCCATGAAATAACACAAGTGGCAGAGCTAGGACTGGAACTGAAAGAATCTGGCTCCAGAATCCCCATTCTCAATTTCTAAACTAAAATGCCATCTACAGGATGAACAGAAAAAATGGTAGGCTACTTCTGACAACCCAGCAAGCGTTAAAGTGAAGAATGAGAATAAGCCACAAAAGAATTTGTGGGCAGATTTATCTGAAAAATAAAAAAAGATGGATCTATGGGAATTATTATATGCCTTTATTTTTTACAAATTTCTAGCTTTGAAAGGAAGTTTTTTTCCTCTTTCCTTATTCAGAGAGTGTCCCTAAGCTGAGTCTCTGAGCAGGGGTTTCCCAACTTTAATACCAGTGCACTGGCACTAGGTAACAGTGCTCTAAAGAGCTGAATAATAACAAATGCTTGTTGCATAAATTGTTGCTAACATTAAATTCTTTTATGAATAAAACCAAACAGTAGCAGATGCTTATGATTTCATGACTGATCTTTTGTTCTTTGCCTCTCTGCTTGCTAAAATGTGCTAGAATCTTTCAAAGTATATACATTTTTCTGTGATAATGCTGGGGACTTGTCCACTACATCATCTTCAACATCTTACTTTCCCCCAAAATCTAGTCCAATTTGGGATATATATCTCTGGCAAGCTAATTTTTAGTGCTTTGTGTGAAGCTGAAAGTCAAACTAAAGGTAAATGAATATGAAACTTTTTATTTCTCACAGATTAGATGGGGAACTTTTCAGAATGAGCCCTTCTGATCTTGAGCTCTACCACACATAAATGACAAAAATTTCTTTCTTCCTTTTCTGGTCTGACTTTGTCAATATTACTGCCTCGAAGGCTCCCCCAGGTACATAAGAGCCAAAAATATTTTCAGTTTCTTTTTGTGATTTTTTTTTTAAATAAAGGATTAAAAAAGTACATACTTGACCATAAAAATATAGACACAAACATAAATGAAAGTAATATAAAGAAGTTTCTGTAAATCAAACTTGTCCTTTATTAGTATTTATAAGCTTTTCTGAATATAAATGGCCAAACTGGACTACTAACATCCCTTAGGAAAAAGCCTCTATGTTGGTAGCAATTTTTAAGAAATAACACAGTTCAACTACAGATGAATGGCCATAGATTGCCAAGGATAAGAGCCACAAGCCTGAAATGCAGGAGCTCTTTACAATCTAATTTTGAAATTGTGACTGTTTTCTAAGGATTTACTGTACAAAATTAGCCTCAATTTTCTAATCTATAAAATATGGATTAAAACTGCTCATTGCTGCTATGAAAAATCGTGACATTCTTTTTTTTTTTTTTTTTGAGACAGAGTCTCACTGTGTTGTCCGGGCTAGAGTGCCGTGGCGTCAGCCTAGCTCACAGCAACCTCAAACTCCTGGGCTCAAGCGATCCTCCTGCCTCAGCCTCCCAAGTAGCTGGGACGTGCCACCATGCCTGGCTAATTTTTTTCACATATTTTTAGCTGTCCAATTAATTTCTTTCTATTTTTGGTAGAGACAGGGTCTCGCTCCTGCTCAGGCTGGTCTCAAACTCCTGAGCTCAAACAATCTGCCCGCCACAGCCTCCCAGAGAGCTAGGATTACAGGCGTGAGCCACCACGCCTGGCAAGCCCCAAATATTTCTAATAACACTTTTCAATAACCCATGGGTCAAAAAAGAAATTACAAAGGAAATTAGGAAATATTTTTGAAGTAAGTGATAAGGAAAACCTCAATCTCTACATCATGTCACACACAAAAATTATTTCTAAATGGATCATAAACCTAAATCTAAAAGCTAAAACTATGAAAATTCTTGAAGAAAACAGGAAAATTCTTTGCAACCTCAGGATAGGCAAAAATTTCGTGGGCAACACAAAAAGTCGTCACTAATATTCACATAGTGGGCCCCTTGATATGATGCCCCCGAGAAAGATACAACGTAAATTTTGTGATATTCTTGCCAAAATGCATAACTTGAATATAAACATAAGGCAATCTCAGATAAACCCAAATTTGGAGACATTCTACAGAATAATAGACCTATACTTTTCAAGAAAAGTTGAGGCCCAAAAAAGACAAATAAAAATAAGATTAAAAGAGACCAAGGAAACACAACTAAACCCAATGTGTGGTCTTGGATTGGATCTAGGGGAAGGAAAACCTTACAAAGGACATTACCAGGACAAGTGACAAAACCTGAATATCAACTGTAGATTAGCTACTACTATTGTATGAATGTTACAAAGATGAAGAACTCCTTCTGGTCCAATAAGCACATGAAAGGATATTCAACATCATTAGTCTTTACAGAAATGCAAATTTAAAACAACAGCGAGGTATCACTATATATTCACTACAATGGCTGAAATTAAAAAGACTGACTATAACAAGTGTGTGGAGTAATTGGAATTTCCAAACATTGCTGGTGGGAATGTAGGATAGTATAACCACTTTGGAAAATAACTATTTGGAAAATAATTTTGTAGTTTCTTATAA